CGCTTTCTCAGCACGTGATGTGTGCTGCTCTTCAAGCTTCAGAAGTCCCAGAAGGAAAGTGCTTCTGTAACCCCCATTTACTGGTGAACAGAGGTCAGGTGGTTTGCAACCGGCCAAGCAGCTGCTAAGTGGCCAACAGGCTGGATCTGCGTCTCACTTGCAGAGGCCCTGCCTGGCTGCTGGGGCTGCCCTGAGACTCCCTCCTCCTCCTCTTCCCTCCACAGCTTTCCCGGCTTCTATCCACAGCAGTGCTCCAGGTGGGGAACACCTGTGGGTGCACCAGGATGCAACTACTCAGATTCCAGCGTGCAGAAGGGCCCTGGCTCCATGCTGTTTCCATATCCAAGTCCAAGCTCATCTACAGCTTCAGCGAATCCAAGCCTCCCTGAATTCCCTGCAAGACCAAACTGAGCCCTACAACCCCCACTACACTGGTTAGCTGCCAGTCCCAGCCCCTGCTCCCTCCTGGGCCCCTGTCTGTACAGTTCTGAAGTCCTTCAAGAATGTTGAGATCCTAAGCTGACTCTCACCCCAAGAGGTAAACAACCAGGGGCCTCCAGGGGTAGAGAACATACCCAGACAGGTTCTGCTGCCTGTAGGCTTGATGTCCTTCCGCTACAACCTGCCATGCTTGCCAGGCTGGAAGAGGGGCTCCAGAAACTTGGGAAACCTGGGCCTGTAGCTGGCATGTGGAAAAGAGGCCTGGAAAAGCACACTCCTGTCCATGAAGCCCCCAGATGGAACCAGGTAATTGGGAAATACATGGGTACCCAGGCTGACCCCCACTCAGACCCACGTGGGAACTGCAGCAGTGACTTGCCCCCTCTGCCACTCTGGCTGCACCACTACAGGAGGGAGGAGCATCTAGCTCCATGCATGAGTGGAGACACTAGGTGTGGGCAGGTTCCAGTTGTTGCTGCAACTGAACCTTCCCAACCAGGTCCATGCAAGGCCATCTCAGATGTGTGTGCACCTGGGTTGGGCAAGGACACCCCTCAGAGTGAGAGCCACTGAGCAGGGCTGTCACAGAGGCCCCTTTTCCTGCTCCAAGAGCAGGTTGGGGGAGTATGAGGGACCTCTGCCCCCTCCCAGCTGCTTCCAGGAGCCACTTCTTTCGAGATGAGGCGCTCTCCTGCCTGCCCGTTCCCATTTGGCTGCAATAGACCATTGCCAACATTCAGAGAACAAAAAGGGGCCTCACCTGTTTCCGACATGTCGGAGGCAGGTGGGTATGCCCAGGGGATCTGGGGTAGAACCTGTACATGGGCCCACCCCCAGGCTATGCTGGCTTCATCTTATCTGTGTGATGGGGGTGGGGGTGGGAATTACCAAGAGACCATCACACAGGCCGTGGACAAGTTCTACAAAAGCCAGGTAGAGGAGCACCGTCCGTGCGTGCTGCCCGGCACCCAGCTCACACACGTATCTCTTATTTGACAGCTTCCCCAAAGCAGGATTTGAAGTCCAGGCTCCCAGAGAAGCCTGGGGAGGAGACTCTGCAGGCTAAAGGGCCTATCCGCAAAGATGCCACCCTCACCAGTCTCATCCTGACAATCTTGGGTTATTTTTGCCCTGAAGTTTTGGAGTGGGGGACAGGGAGATACAGACAGTACGCATTAGCCACCTTTCCAGAGAGCATCAGGCCTCCAGACTGGGGCAGGTCAGACCTCCACTCGGGCGTTTTTCTCACTGGCTGCCAGTTGGGGGAAGCAGCATTGTGAGCACCTGCCTGTCTCCCCAGGTCCTGTTCAGAAACCCCATCTGTGCCTCTGGAGAGACTGCCCCGAGCACACAGGCCCAGCAACCACCATCTATGGCCCCCAGGACCTAATCCCCTTCTACATAGGGGTCAGTGCATGTGAGTATACGCCGGGTTTCATTTCTGCCCACTAGTCCCTGCCAGATATCCCATGCCCACCTCAAGAGAATGAGGCCACACAAACACACCCAGGCCGTCATGGTGGAGTGGCTGGGGTCCTACTTGCCCACCCTTCATTGCTGGCTCAGAGCCAGCTGCCTGACCACATTCCTACCCTCAGATGGGACTTTGGGGACATTGCCCACCAGGGTCACTGACCACTTTTAGGGTTCCAGAAACAGAGGGCCAGCTGGTCCCCTAGAAGTCTGGAACATGGGATAAGCCAAGGCTTGCCTTCAGAACAGGTTTTCCACCACATAGCTGCCCAAGGCCCAGGGCATCCCCAGGTTCATGTGAAGCCTGCCTGCCATGTCCACAGCCCATGCCCACCCCTCCTGGAGCCACGGGAATGCTTGTTCCTGGGCACGTGACAAACCCAGATAGCTTCAGCCTTGCAGGACAACCATGCAAATCTGGCAGCCGCAGCTGGAGGGGGGCCCACAGATAGAAGTTGGAGGTGAAGCCAGATGCTATGAGAATACTTTATTCAGCAAAATCGTATACTATAAAAATGCTTTAAAATGCAGCAGGAGGAGAGGTGAAGACACGAACAAGTGCGTAGTGACACGTGGCAGTCAGAACACAGTGAAGAATCCACACTGCTTCCCCCCTTTACCTAGAAAACGAAGGTTCTAGGCCTCTCCTCCTCCTCCTCAGCATATTCCTCAAACTCCTCCTCCTCGGCTGTGGCATCCTGATACTGTTGATACTCAGAAACCAGGTCGTTCATGTTGCTCTCCGCCTCAGTAAATTCCATCTCATCCATCCCCTCGCCGGTATACCAATGGAGGAAGGCCTTGCGCCGGAACATTGCTGTAAACTGCTCTGAGACACGCTTGAAGAGTTCCTGGATGGCCGTGTTGTTCCCAATGAAGGTGGCTGACATTTTTAGCCCCCGGGGCGGGATGTCACAGACGGCTGTTTTGACGTTGTGGGGGAGCCAGTCAGCGAAGTAGCTGCTGTTCTTATTTTGAATGTTGAACATTTGTTCATCCAGCTCCCTCATGGGCATGCGACCCCTGAAAATGGCAGCTGCCGTTAGGTAGCGGCCATGACAGGGGTCACAAGCTGCCATCATATTCCTAGCGTCAAACATCTGCTGCGTAAGCTCAGCCACCGTCAGGGCCCGGTACTGCTGGCTGCCCCGGCTGGTCAGTGGGGCAAAGCCGGGCATGAAGAAATGCAGCCGGGGAAACGGGACCATGTTCACGGCCAGCTTCCGCAGGTCAGCATTCAGCTGGCCTGGGAAGCGCAGGCACGTGGTGACCCCGCTCATGGTGGCAGACACCAGGTGGTTCAGGTCACCGTAGGTGGGCGTTGGCAGTTTCAGGGTCCTGGAAC